CTCCCCCAAAAAGTTGAGTTATAAACTTAAAGTTCAGCACAAATGCAGGAGAAAACTTTTGTTTATTTCTCATGATATTTAGTTTCTAAATCTGCTTTGCTCTGACCTCGGTAAACACTTTCCCGCTGACTTTATGGGCATCGGTGATCATATGGAAAAGAAAATAATAAAATTGTAAATCTTGGTCATACTGTGTTTCAGGATGGAGGATTATCTGTAGTAGGAGTTTCTTCTTCACAGTTAGACCTGCCCTTTGTCACATTTGTTTCTTTGCAACTGATTTTTGCCTTTTTTAGGAGCCATTTTTCTGCAAAATCACTGTATCGTGATATCATTGTTATTGTGGGCGCTGTATCATGAAATCATGAGTTGTGATTTCCAACCATAATAAGAATTTAAGTCTAGCAATATGTCTACAGACATTACCCTAATAGCAGTATTGACCAAAGCTGTGGGGTTTCAGTGTTGTTGCTGCTGTAGTTCAACTGCACCCAGGAGGCTTCATCAAGCTCGTTCAGACACAGCACCAGAGAGCAAAGCAGCCCTCACTGGAAGGTGTTGGAGCACCGAAGGCACCGCTGGAGCTAAAGCTTAGGCTGTCAGAGTCACAGCCACTATTTTATACATCCTGCCAGAGAGTCACGCATGAATATGTATGTCGAGGAGGCAGAAGTCATAACCTATGCAAGGTTTCATCATGCATAATGCAGCTGATCTACGCCTCTCCAGGACGGGATGGGAGTATGCACAGGAGTGCATGCACACACAAGCACACACGCACACACACACACCTGACGTTCATAACTATATTGTAATGAAGGAGGAAAAGAAACTCTTAAAGTCCCATTCAGATGTGCCTGCAACCAACCATCAACATATTACATCCACAGGTTGCTTCTCTTCCTCTCCCTCTTTTTTCACCCATTTCCATCTTCCCATTCCTTCCCCAGTGCTACAATAATTTTCACAGCATTTTCATCTTTCATTAACTGGTATGGCACGTGCAGTAAAGGTCAAAAGCAGGATTTACATTTGCCATGGCATATGTCAAAACCCTTCTCCCGTCCTCTCCTCCAGTTCTTGCTATTTTGGAAACAGGTTCACTTCCAAGCAGACTGTGGCTACTACACCGACTACACTCCTTGCCTGCCACCTCTCCATCACTCATCCTGTTTTTGCGACAGAAAGTTGTGAGTTGTCTTTTGATAAGTGGGCAAAGGGAGTGCAAATGTGTGTGGAAACAAAGCGGCACAGGATGCACTAGAAGAAGACACACTGGCACAAGAGGTGTGAATTGAATATTGGTGAGATATGGGGGGG